GTGCGGGTTTATTTTTAATCCCAGGTCCTGCTTTGCTGACACACATCATTCCTGTCACGGAGAACGGCAAACCACGTGCCACACGGATTGGCATGGGGAGGAAAGGGCAGGGGCCAGGCCCACGGCACGGGCTGTGTGCCGCCAGCCCCACAGCTGCAGTGGGAACGGAACTGGCAGTGATGCCAGGATCCTTCTCATCCCAGGGGTGCTGCTGGCTCTCCCACAAGGCACTTCCAGCTCTAAACCCAAAACTTTGATCTGCTGGTAGCTCCATTAATGTTTAATGCAGCAAAGCCCTGGTAGGGCTCGGAAGACGAGCATTTTGAGGCCAAATTGAAGTTTCTAATATTATGATATTCAAATAATTTTAATCCACCCGATGCTTCCCCAGGCATGTACCTGGACTGCTAATGAGGGGCTTCCTTCAGAGGCTGTTGGTTTTGACAAAAAACAAACAATTCTTTGCAGGTGACATCAAAGCATCAGGAATGGCGAGGATTGGGGAGGAAAACGGGGCCAAAAATGGGGGCAAACGTTCCTGGAGCCAACATGCTGTGGCTGGGTAGGAAGCATGCCAGAGTTCCCTCAGCTCCTTGGGGAATGATATTGCTCCCTAATTCTTTTTTAAGCGCTGATTTGTGCTTGATAGAGTATAAGGCCAGCACAGCTGGATGATGGGACTTTGAGAAGCTTCAGCTGCCATTCCAGGATACACCAGGTGCAATGGGTTCAGTGGGTGCAGAGTCCAGCACCTGTTAAGCCACATTCTGACCTTTGCCAAAGTTCCTCATTCCACAGTTCCCCATCTCCACGTGGATCAGGTGGCTCCTGCAGCCTGTGGCAGTTTCCCAAACCCCCATCTCCCCCTCCTCATGCCATTGCCAGTCTCGAGTTTTCCCATCCATCCACCCAGCCCACACAGGGAATATTTCATTTTTATTGAGCTCTCCTGACCCACACCAGCTGCTTAGGGAAATGGATTTCTTGCTGCCACGAGCATTGCTTCCAGTTAATATAAACACAGGTGAAGAGGACATGGCAGGGAAGATGAAGGCCCTGGCACAGGGCTGGGGGGACACCACAAAAATTCAGGCAAGATGAGGTCATGCAGTTGTTTTTTGGGGTCTGGAGGCACAGATTTCCCTGATGCCTGGGATCAGCCCTGGTTGGATCACCCATGGAATGAAAGCAATGGCTTGAGGGGTCCCACAGAGCCACGGGGATGGTCGTCAGCACCACATCCATGGTCTTCCCAGCTCTGTAGCATCATGAGTGAGGCTTTTCCATCCGTTCTATTAACACACCACTAACGGGAGAGGAGTTCATTTTTACCATTTAACGTTTCACGGATAATTAATTATTCCTCATCTTTCCAGCAAAAAAGCAAGAGCAGGTAGAGGGGCTATTCAAAGCGAATAAAGTGAGCTGAAACCTTGGGAAATTGGTGAATTATTTGTAACATCAAAGGCGAGAGAGGATGTGCTGATTTAACAGCGCCCTGCGTGATGCAGAGCCCTGGGCATTGCGGTGGTGCTGAGACTGGGACACGCTCATTGCAGCAGTGGTTGTAGGCAACAGGGCAGATGAGGGGCCTGGGGGGGACCCCAACCCTTGCCCGTGCTCCCCATCCTCCTCCTCTCACCTCCCCATCTCTGTGAGCTGCCAGTTCTGCCTTTACATGATGCCTGGGTGTCCCCATAACCTGGTGGGGGCCTCCAGCACTTTCCAAATCTTCATTCATCACCAGAGGCGAGTGGCAAAATAAATAATGATATTTAACGTTTTGTAATAACGACGATTAACCAGTAAATAATGCCTTTTACACCACAGAAGCCAGAGTAAATTAATTCCCCTAATTAGCTGTCAGGCAGCACGGGGCAGTGTCAGCAGCGGACAAAGCTGGCAGCCCTTGCCTGCGTTATCCCCCACCCTGAAGCATCACTGAATGTCCCCAAACCCCAAATCACACCCTAAAATTTTGCAGACTTGCAAAATCCACCACTGCCAGTGGGACATGAGGCTCTGTGCCGCTTCCTGGCAGCTCTGGTGAGCCCTAAATAACTCCTATCTCCTGTTAAAAAAAAAAAACAAAACAACAACAACAAAAAACCAACAAAAGATGGCAACAAAATGGTTTATGGCTGTAATAAATTGTGCTGGGGGAAAAAAAATCTGTTTGCCTGGAATCAAGCGGGGGGTTTCCCACTGGCACTCAAACAGGAGCGTTACCAAGGCCCACGTCCCACTGCAGCCAGAGCCAGCAGTGACCAGTGGAGAGGGAAAGGGGGATTTATTAGAAGGAATTTTCTATCACATTTATCTCACCCACTTGCTCTGATCAGATGATCTCCCTGCAGTGGTGGGACCAGATGCTGGTGTTGGTGGGGGAATGGGAATGATTCTGTCTGGCCAGCCCCAAGGGGTGGGAGGGATTTGGGCCCTGTGATCCCATAGGGCTGGAGGGTTGCCGTGGCTCCACCTGCTCGGCTTGGCTGGACTCTGCCCCATTCCTCCCCTTGGATCAACTCCCGGCTGCTGGAGGGGACAGGAACAGGAACAGGGACGAGGACAGACATGGCTGCCCCAGGCCAGCCCCAGAAGGCCACCTACGATGCCATCGTCATCGGGGCTGGCATCCAGGGCTCTTTCACTGCCTACCACCTGGCCCAGCGCCGCAGGGACACTCTGCTTCTGGAGCAGGTACAGGTGACCCCATTCTGCCATGTCCCCAGTCCCCACAGGCTGGGGCAGCTGCCTGCAGACCTGGCTGCCCTCTGGCTGCCCTCTGCCACAGCACAGAGTGGAGCTGCTGGAGGCACCACAGCCCCCAGCGCCAGGACCCCCATGTCCCCACTGCCAAGACCCCCATCTCCTGCTGTTTCCTGGTGCCGTGGATGACAGGACAGTCTGTGTCCCCAGGTTCCCACCATAGCACAGCACCAGCGCACGTGGGGATGGTGGGGTTGGGGGTGGGATGGTGTCTGTGGTCACTCCCATGTCTCCTATCCCCCGCAGTTCATCCTGCCCCACTCGAGGGGCAGCTCGCACGGGCAGAGCCGCATCATCCGCAGCGTCTACCCCGAGGAGTACTACTCCCGCATGATGCCCGACAGCTTCCGCCTCTGGCAGCAGCTGGAGGCTGAGGTCGGCATCCGCCTCTACAGGTGACAGGGACGGGGACGCAGCCCCCACTGGGCACCATCCCCTCCCTGCTGGACTGGGGTCTGTGGCCACTGGGTGGCATCTGGCCGTCCTGGCAGGCAGCTGCCGGCTCTGGGTAATTTATGGGGCTCCATAAAGATAATGTCATTAAGGAAATGAGCTTCCAAACGATCCTCCGGTGCCGGGGTCAGGGCTGATGGTACTCGCTGTATTTGAGGGGGGAAGCACGATGCCGGCACCCAGACCCTCCTCACGTGTCACCCCATGCACCCAGCCCGTATCTCCCAGCTTCCCACCATGGGGTGCCCCAGCATGTCCCAAGCATCACTGGTGCCACCGTGCCTCAGTTTCCTCCAGGGGCAAAGCAAGCAGGGGGTCTGCACAGGAAGGGGGAGTAGTGGGAGCTGACTTGACTGGTGGGGTGCAGGCAGACGGGACTGGTGGTGCTGGGGCCGGCGGGAAACGAGGAGCTGGAGGCCTGTCGGCGCAGCCTGGGTGACAGTCAAGTCCTTGACCCCACGGCGCTGGCCCGGCACTTCCCTGGCTACCGGCTCCAGGCTGGCCAGGTGGCCGTGTTGGACAGCACCGGCGGGGTGCTCTTCGCTGACCGGGCACTGAGGGCAGTGCAGGTGAGTGCTGCCAAAGGGATGGGCTGGGATATGTGGGACATGATGGGCTGGGCTGAGCTGGGCTGGGCTGGGGGTCCCTTGGCTCCATCCCTGCAGCCACCTCCTGTTACCATTCCCATTCAGGAGGTCTTTCGCCGACGCGGGGGCACCGTGCGGGATGGGGAGAAGGTGCTGCGCATTGAACCTGGGGCCATGGTCACTGTCACCACCACGGGTGGGGTGTACCAAGCCCCCCGGCTCATCATCACGGCCGGAGCCTGGACAGGTCCCCTTGTGGAACCCCTAGGTCTCCGCCTGCCGCTGCAGGTAAGGGCCGGTGGCAGGGTGGGGTGGCACAGACACAGCCAGAGCTAATGCAGTGACTGCAGCCCCTGCGCATTGATGTGTGCTACTGGAGGGAGAAGGAGCCTAAGAGCACCAACACGGGCAGTGTCAGTCCCTGCTTCCTGACCGTGGGGCTGAGCCAAGCCCCCCATGGCATCTACGGGCTGCCCGCCCTCGAGTACCCAGGGATGGTCAAGGTGAGCGGGTCACAGTGGTGGCTGGGGGGGATCCCTTAACCAGTCCACCCTTATCAGTTGTCCCCCAGCTGTGCCACCACCATGGTAGCCCCATTGACCCTGAGAAGCGGGATCAGGCCCCCTCGGGTGCCGACCGCCCTGACATCAGCCTCCTGAGCAGCTTCATCAGCAGCTACCTGCCCGGGCTGGAGACCCAGCCGGCTGTGATGGAGACCTGCCTGTACACGGTGAGACCCCTCCTAGGGCATGGATCCAAGCCTGTGGGGTCCTGAGCCCACTCCCACCCCAAGGTGGACCTTGCCATCCCTTCGCCCCCCACACCTTGGGTCCAGGATTGGACCCTTGGCCCCTCACCCTCACACCATGGCTCCCCCAGAACACTCCAGATAAAGACTTCATCCTGGACCGACACCCCAAGTTCAGCAACATCATCATTGGTGCTGGCTTCTCAGGTAGGCGAGGGCACCCACCCCCAGCCCAGCATCCCAGAGGTGAGGGTGGCTATGTCCCCCACCTTCCCTCTCCTTCCCACAGGCCATGGGTTCAAGCTGGCACCAGTGGTGGGGAAGTTGCTGTGTGAGCTGAGCCTGGGCGAGGAGCCATCCCACAACATGGCCCCCTTCGCCATCACCCGCTTCCGTGATGTGCTCCAGTCTGTGCTGTAGATGTGGGGCTCCAGATGTGCCCCCATGGCATTGCACCAGACTGCAGCTGTGTCCCTGCATTCCAGTGACCTTATGCCTCAGTAGGCCTGCATCAATACCTGTCTCCATCTCCTTGCACCCTGGTGTCCCAACATGCTACACTTCTCCAACTCTAGCTGTCCTTCATCCCCACATCCCTATATTCCACCATCACATCACCGAGCACCCTGGCATCAATCCATGCCAGCAGCCCTCCATCTGTGCATCCCAGCACCACTGCACCTCCACATTCCAGAACCTGGGTATCCCCATGCCCCTGCCTCCCTGCTACCTGCATCCCAGCAGCCCTGCATCCCTATACCCTGCCTCCCCACATCCCAGCATCCCTGTCTCCCTGCATCCCAGCATCCCCCATGCCATGCAGTGCCAAGCTGTCTCTACCAAGCACCCGCTCCCTGGGAACAAATTAAGAAGCTTTGTCAGCCTCATGAAGATGGAGTTGGAGCAGCGCAGAGAGACACACTCGCTTAGGAGTCAAGTTAAATGTTTTAATGTTAAATGTGCCATTTTATTATCATTAGATCGCTCCCACTTAATGAAAGCGCATTAGCGCAGCGTGGCTTTATGGCAGCGAGCGCTGAGCTTGGCCCATGTTTTACCAAAAGATGCTGGGAAAAGGGATCAAATAACCTGGTTTGCCAAGGTCCCAGGAGTGGGGGTGTCTCAGAGGGTCCCTGGGGCCGGGTTCAGGGGACAGCACATGGCACAGGCCAGCAGGTGCCAGGGCCAAGCCGTGCAGGCAGCCAGCAATGCACATCATCATCATCTCCTCCGCGTTAAATAATTAACGCCGGCAGGCAGCAGCTCTGTCCCGCTGCTCATCTGCATATTTATGAAGATTGATAAATGATTCAGTGCTGGCACCCACAAGGGCTGTCCCCCCCCTACCCTCCCCAGCACCCGTGGGTGCAGCAGACTCAGGGAAGGGGCCAGGCTTGGCCCTTCCAAACAGCCCCGTATCCTTGCCAGGGCTGGATCCATTCCACCAGACCTTGACACCATGCAAACACCCCTGCAAAATGGGGAGACCCCCCTGGCACATGGAGCAGGCAGCAGCCGGTGTCACCAGCCAGAAATGACGTTTATTTTCATACTGAAAGTAAAGGGGGTGTGGTGGGATGCACAGCTGGGCTAGTGCAAAACAGCCAGGCAGGAGTGGGGGAATGGGGAGCTGTTGAAAACCCAAGTGGACACCTGGGACCTTGTCCCCACGTCCCCTTCCCAGCTGCCAGGCGGCTGCTCCCCAGGGCCCGGCCAGCGAGAGACGTCTTTGGCTCAACTAAAAGGGGTGCAAGAGGGGGGGAGTTTAAGTTATAAAATAAAGAGCCAGCAGGCACTGAGGAATGAACCCAGGGTGCCGGAGCAGCCGACTCCACCGCCAAGGACAGACAGGAGGTGGGAAGGTGGGGGGTGCAGCCAGCGAGCCGGCCGGGCTGCTCCCCCCATGGCCGGGGGACGGCTGAGTGTGTCCCCCCCACCCCGCACAGAAGAAATACCGGCTGCCCGGGG